TGGGGCCACAGTCACACACTGAGATTAATATATCTTTTTGCAAATAGTGTTGTGAGACCATTACTGTTCGTAGGTGGTCAGGATGACCAAATATCCATCACATCTGAATGAGAGCTGACAGCACTTCGAGGAAAGATACCTGCTTGCTGCTCTCCATGCCGTGCAATCCCAAATATCCTTCTTAACCATTGAAAGCAACAGGACCTCTGGCATGAAGGATTTTCCCAGACTTGACACTGAAATAACCGACAAGTTCTTCAGAGCTTGAGTTCCTATTGCATGTCCCTAGAGAGAAGTAGGTTTGACTATTCAGAACCAAGACTTCTGAAATATGTTACAGCTCAGTACAATGACTTTATCAAAATTACATACATACTATTGTATAGACTACATAATGTTTAAAAAATATCCCATCATTTATAACATCTTGAAAAAGAAGTTTGTTTCATTTATAGACCTGTTAAGAATTACAAGCCAATATGGCCAATGCATTAATTTCCTATGAGGCTTTGCTACCACAATCCATCATGATCAGGCCCAGAAGTAGAAAGCCAGCATGACATTTAATGGTATATAGAGACATAAAATCTGGAAACTGCTGCAACTTCTTACAAGCCAAGTAGGATAAAACATTAATCAAAAAAGGTCATAAAGTGCAAATGATAAATGGTTATGCAAGAAAGCAAACCACAGACATCTCTACTATTCCCTTCACACTTCTTTAGCAAAAAAAAAACAAACTGGCAATAACTGCTCAAAAACTGCTATCAGGACTGTTAAAGCTGAACATATCTAAAAACAAGCAACAAGAATGGACCAAGAATTGTGCAAGAGCTGTTTTGCAATAGGGACCTTTACAACTGGAGGAAAAGGAGCACTGCAGAAAGATGGATCTTGTCTTTGGGAAGGGTTGGAGGTGTTCTAAAGTGGAAGGCAAGAGGCCCTAGGCAGTGGTCTAGTAGGTAGCAGGAGGGGTCAAAAGAATTTACTGTCATTCATAGGAGGAGTTCTTCTTGCTTCATGTTCTGCAAGATGGAGGTTACAAGGGAAGCTAGTCTTTCTGATGGCATCAGCAGCAAAGAAGGGAAGGGCTAGGACTGGAGGACTGGGTGTTGAGATACCCCACTCCTGCTCCTACCTCTGCCTCAGGTTCTCTTTCTTTTCCAAGTCCTCTTCTTTCAGGAGGAGTCTGAGGGAGATAAGGGGGGAGGGGGGGGAAGTAGAGCTAAGGCATATTGAAGGAGAGATGTCTTGGTGCTTGCTCTTTCCAGCCACTGTACCTAAATGACAGTCCCTCCCAAGTTTGGTTCTCTCCCTCTCAAGATGCTCCCATCTGCCTTATCTCTATAAACATTTTATGGCCACAGCCTGCAGTACCAACAGGCTGAATGCATGCTGTAGGCTCCTAGATATACATTGTTCTCTGCATAACTCTACCTCTGTACCTAGAAAAACTGTTTGTTGTTTTCAGAAGCTTGACTCCCATTCAGACCCATAATGTAGCTAAATAACATCCTGGAGACAAAGCTAGCTTTAAAAGTTCCTGCCTACTGGCTACACGTTTCTTTACACTCTTTCTTTTCCTGTTGCAATTAAATGCCCTCTCAGCTGTGCTGGTGCAGATGTTCCTGAGGTCATAAACATGGAAACAGTCCTTGCTAAAATAACTTCTTATTTCAAAACCAATAAATGGAACTTGTGGAGTCTCCATCCTTGGAGATACTCAAAAGCTGTCTGGACATCATCCTGTGCAACCTGCTTTAGGTAGCCCTGCTTGAACAAAGGGTTGGACTAGATAATCTCCAGAAGTCCCTTCCATCATTCTGTGATGCTGCTAAATGAGGTTAAATCCCTGTTACCTGCATACTAATGGCAGGAAGGTAACAGAATCAGTGGGACCAAATGCTTCTTAAAAGAACTGTGTGTTTCATCAGTGTGTCCCAGCATGGCCTGGTTATGCTGAAGTCTGGTTTTGCATATACAGCTGGAAGAAATGGGTTTTTCAGGAGTTCAGGTCACAGCCAGGCAGCAGGATCTGGCCTGACTCCCTTGAATGGGTGTATCAGGTTGGGTGTATCCAGGAGCTGAATTTACAAGGATGCTGATACAGCAGAGTAGGAATTGCACTGTTGGTACATGGATATAATTTTCATCTTGAAAACAGTTGGCTCACAAACTGCCTTGGTTCTGTCATGTCAATTTGCTCCAGGAGGTACTGGTAAGTCATCTTTTGCAACCAACGTATTTATAACCTTTTAAATATTTCTTTTGCTGAGAGGCAGTGAATGCCAAGATCAAAGCTTATCCAGTGATTAAACTAGAGAGATTTAAGCCATAAGCAGGAAACTGATATCAAATGCTTTGAGAGGGTAATGTATCTTGGAAACTCACTGAAGAAATGGCAACAAATCAAGGCTATGAAGCCTAATTGGAACTGTGATGAGGGACAGAAAATTCCAAAGAGATCTGAGAGTGCACATGCATTTGAAAGCACTTGGAAAAATAAGCTGTTACTTTAAAAATTATTCCCACTATAATATTGTGAACTCACTGCAGTTTCATACATTAAACATCTAGAATCCAGATTCACTCAGGTATGATTAGTGGTATGAATAGCACTGCATTAGTCTGACTGCATTTCTACATAATCATTTGCTTTAGGGAATGCTTTTGGATGTGAAGGAATGGTATTACTTGGCAATATATATAAACATTAAAATCAACTTAAACCTCAAAGAAAGATGCATTAGGTTTTTGTCCGCAGCTGTTCCTGTCACCACATTTTGCGTGCTTTTTTTTCTGGACTGACAGCAAAACAGAGATTTACCTCACTTTGGATTTGATACTTAACTGAAGTATCTTAATGCAGGGAAAGGATACATCCCTGATGAAGGTGAGGTGATGTCAGTGGAGCAGGACTGAACACACTGGTGCACCTCAGGGAGACAAATTAACACACAGATACGCTGAATCGCCTCACTGTCTCCCTTGCCTACAATGATAGCTTGAATTTCGAGGATCCTGAAGTGCAGCAGCTCATTTCCATCTAAACCCCGGTGGGAGGGATTTGGGTGCAGGTCCTTGATATTCACAACTAATCAGTGATGACTTTCCATTCCTTGTCCATCTGTCTTTGGCTGTTCATTTCTTCCAGTGTATATCACTGGAAATGTTGCAGTAATTGCCACACACAGACATATAACTTCTCACTGTTGCTCCCTGATTGCCTCTAACCGCAATTTAATATTCCCTTCATATGTGACAAGGCAATTCAGACAGGCATGGACCTAGGATTTCCTTTCAAGGATCAATATGTGATCCTTGGAGCAGTCAGCCACGGAAGCAGCTATTTGTTCATTGTGCAATGGAAACTCTATTGGTTCTGTTTCACTTATATTCCTCTAAGAGGAATTGCTGATAAAATTAGAAAGCTTATTTTATTTTTTTTTTATCTTAACATAACGCCAGGAAACAAAATACCCAGTGAAAACTGGGTAAGGCATAACAACCCTACCTCTGTATCAAATGTGTCGTTTGGCTTCTGTGTCACTGAGAATTTATCTAGGAAATTCCTTGTGAGGAACAAAAATATATGATAAAGGTGAACTACATTGGCTGTTCTCCTGAAAGAGTGATAGCCACGGACTTCACGCTTAGCCAATCTGATACTATTTAGATAACCACCTAGACAACACTTCACATATCGCCTTTGGAGTTTCTGCTAATAGAAAACATAATTAGATTTCCTACTCACTTGCTGCATCTCTTGAAAATGGTAAGATACTGGAAAGATGAGAAACAATGCCTTTAAAATGCAGCGTAATACATTTTATTCTGAACAAAAGAGAAAACTAACATACCTCTAAGTAACAGCAATATGATGTGGCTAGTAATCTAAGAAGTTACAGAGCTTTAAGAGGATTTTGAAGTGGTAAAAAGAGTTTATAAAAGAAAGGTTTAGAAAAAAGCAGTTTAATTCCCTATTTTATCAATAGGGCCATGCTCCTAAAGCTCATTTTCCTTTTGTTTGTAGATACATTGTTACTTTCCTCTTGATATGAATGACAGCACATTTAAATTCATTTGAAATACTAAAATACGGAACCAGAAGAACTCCTGTTATCTAGCAATCAACTACATTGAAGATAATTTTAACTTTCTTTGTGTTTTAATGAGCACACAGAAGAGTGAATAGCAACTTCACAGTTCGTCCAGGAGATGTCTCTCTCTCCCTAAAATAAGCCTAAACCATTCGTGCTTCAAGGGATCTATCGTGCATCGCAGATGTTGGCTCCCTCGGCCTGCAGTTGTGACCTCGGAAGAAAGCAATACGCAGTCTGACCGCTGCGTATGCTGTGTTCTGTTGTGGGGTTTGGCTCCAGTTTCCAGTACAAACGCCTCATTTTTAGGTCAATGTTTTTAAAAACCATGGGAGCTGAACAAACATTTGTGCTGCAGCCTCGTTTTTTCTCATGCACTTCAAACTTCTGCAGTGGTCCTAATTTGCTTGATTTGCACAACCGAATAATTTATTATACAGTTCTGTCACTGCAACCAAAGAACACACAGTGATATCAATGGATTTTAGCTACAGAAACAGTTTATGGGAGCCTGAATATGTGTTATTATTTGCTAATAACATAAAGAATATAATGTGAACAGTAAATAATTCAATAATCTCATTAGATACATCACAAAGGAATCTAATCCAGAGGCCCATATTTTGAAATATTTCCAGTTCTACCCCACAGAACATGCAGAATAGCAGATAGCCCTATGACAGCCAATAAATTTTAGTTTTGTTGATGGCACAGTAAAAGAATTTATGCTTTAAGAAATTGCTTTGTTTTTAGCAGTACACAGAACAGCCAAACGCTTGCACTCCTAAGTCCTTTGTATCTACTACATTTCATTCTCATGATTACAGTGACTTTACCCTGTATTTTGTGATATCGGCTCAGGTGAACCAAGCTTCTCTTGTGATGAGACAGACACAAAAATCTCTTTTTTCTTCTGGGCAGAGCAAGCCAACAGCCTGGTTTGCCCACTGGTTTTATTAATGTGTATTTTTAATGAGGATCACTGACTTAGTCATAATTGTCATTGGGAATTACAGGAACTGCGACATAACAGTATTTTTTTTTCCTCATGGGAGAAATAATGAATTATGGTATGAAATTTTAAGCTTGTGAATAGAACCTGGGGATTTTGGATGATTTAGAGGAAAAATAATTGGGTTTATATGAACATTTACTGACTACTGCCATTGGAGAATGAAGTACTGGTCCATGCAGTGGTCCCAGGTGAATGTGTGTACCTGGGGATTGGTTGCCTGGACATCTTTGTGAAGATTAAGAAGGAGACAGGACAGGAGGATGCTTTAGCAGAGTTACCCTACTTCTGGAAAGAAACAGCTAAGCAGACACTTTTCCCACAAAAATTCCTCAAGAAAAGAAAAGAAGTAAGATGCCCCCAGCAAAAAGCGGGGACAAAGAAGCAAAGTTGAGCCTTTGTCCAAAAAATCAGGCTATTCCCACTCCAGCATGGATTTAGTTCAGAGGGACTTCTAGGTTTAATTTGAAGTCCCTGGTGTCAGTAGCTGTCCTGTGGCAAGTTTGTCTCCCTTGGCAATAATATTTCTGCTGGCAAGCTGGGTGATGGTACTCAGGGGTAAGAAAAGAGAAGTTTCACTTCAGGCTTCTTCTGCTCAAAGAATCAAGACTCTGCTATTCACTTGTGTTGATCTTAATGACATGATTCCCCTCAGGGACTGGAAAGTTCACTAAAAAGTCATTGAGATATCTGAGCTTAACTTAAATAAAAAAGGAGCCACTCGTACCTTTCAGAGGTTGGCTTCAGGGCCTATAAAATCAGAGGGAAAAGATACAATTTTCCCACACTTTTATGGACATCTTTTTGATTCTAACAGCAAACCCCTTTTCAGTTGTCTGTAGACCACCACCAAGCAGCAAAGGTATTGCATGGTAGCTATGGAGACCTGTTGGATATCACATTTCTTGGACCCTCTGAATGAAGACAGAGCCCTGTTGCTGTGGAAATGTTCCTATTACTCATCTGGCTGACATGGAAGCTGCTATTGTTGGTGGTTTTGTTTTCGTGTTCTGCTTTGCAGCTGCAGTTCCCCCAGGAAGAAATGCTGGTGCTTCTGCTGACTCAGTCCTAGCCAGAGTCTCCTTGATGCTCTGGAGCCACCTGATTCTTGGAGAGCCTGGAAGTAATTTTCAGCCTAGTGTGTTCATTCTGAAGTTTAGTCAATTGGCCCAGCCAGATAGAGCTCTATGCTGTCCTGGAGAAAACAAAATCCAAAAGTGGAATTTGAAATTGAAATAAAAAAAGTGAGAGAATGAAAACTAGGGAAGGAGGGGAGGAGGCTAACTTTGTGATGTCCCTAGAAAAGCAAAAGCTTTGTCTCAAATGCCAGAGTGATGCGAGCTGCTGGAAGGACAGTATTAAAGGGTTGAACTTTTAGGTGGACTTTTGGGGGTCTCAGGAATATATCTGCAAGCCGCTTCCTCTGTCATCAGCCAGCCTGAACCCACCTGCCTTTCTACTGCCTTAAAAGGCCTATTCTAAACTGCACTCCTGCTCTTCTGACACCACACTCAAACCACAGTCTTGGAGCTTCTGCCATTAATACATTAAGCAGCTTCTTGGATTTGATGGCCGGCAGGCCATTAAATTTATGATGTTATCTACTCACAAAAAGTTATCCATCCACAAAGATCAGGGTAATAACAGGGTCCAGACCCACTCTGACTGAATTCACCTGTGAACTATTTCCTGCCCCTTAAAAAACCTTAGACGTTAAAATTCCCGCATGGGGAGAATTCACCAGTAATCTTGGTACGTTGTACCAGGTATTAGTTATCCTTGCTGTTAAAATAGAACCATAGAATAGTTTGGGTTGGAAGGGACCTTCAAAGGTCATCTAGTCCAACTCCCTGCAATAGTCAAGGTCATCTTCAACTAAATCTTATGTCTAGTATATCTGGTGACTTGGCTGTAAGTAGTTTCCACCCTATCACAAGTAGATGTTTGCACTTTTGCTTTGAGAAGAGTGGAACTCAAGGTTCGAATCAAAATAGGAATAAGCATTGTCTAGCTAAATGTCTTATTATTTATTTAGGTGTCTCTGAAAATGGTGCCATGTGTTTAACAGTAAGAAAAAAGTGTCCTGTTCCAAACAGCTCACACAGAACACAGCAGTACAAAAAATTATAAAATAGGAGATCTTGGCTGTATCTGAATTGGTATTTTTTACCATACTTTGCCCATAAAACTTAGAAATTCTAAATCTGATTAAAGAAAGACCTAAGTGGGCAGTGGAAGGGGTGTTGGAACCAGATGATCTTTAAGGTCCTTTCTAACCAAACCATCCTGTGATCCTGATTCAGAGCTGTAGAAAGAAGCCAACCTGAAAGGTGGCCGCATTTACCTACCTCCACGTTAACTCTGCTCAGACGTTACCACCTTCATTCAACTTTGTTCAGGAAGAAAGCTCCCTAGAGATGGCGATGGACCTGCATACTGAGGTGTGCTGTGGCACCTGAGTGACCTGGGCCAGTGTGATGTCGCACATAAATATTCCAAACAATTCTAAGTTATCTCCCAGCTTGTTTATTAGGAACAATATTATTCTTCTAGCACAGTGCTATCTCCAAGTAAGCTGCTATCCCATAAAGCTTCCTATGTATAAGCTGAGCTTACATCCCACTAGCTGAGTTAACGGTGAGCTGGGCAGGAGGCAAAGGGTGCTGGGTTAGTGCTCTCAGGGGCTGCACACAAGACAAAGAACAGAGAGTGAATGCTACCTCAGAGCATGCCAGAAAGAGCAGTCAGAGTAACATGTGGAAAGCGGTAGGAGGAGCAATGGGATCCATTCTAGGACACGGCACACTGCTTACACTGACGGTATTTAAATAGCCTCTAAAATGAGCATCATTTCAGCTCTGCAGAGCCTGCCTGAGTGAATAGTATGGGTTTTTATTCTGTCTTTTTTTATCTTGTGTGACTGGATTTTTAACTGTGAGTATATCTGTTTACTGAAGCCTGTCTTCTAAAAGAATAATTTATCTATATTAAACTTCCTTCAGCGCTTAGCCAATGGTTCTCATTTGTGTGCATATATTTGCAGACACTCTCAATGTTTATTTTACAGAGCTATATGTTTGCGGATCCTATTTTACTGTCTAATAGCACTGGATCTTATCCATCTCTTTCGTCATCTCATTTTTTTAACCCGAGAAACTCACTGTAAGATTTCCAAATTCCTAATTTCATCCTCATGTAGTCATTGCAAGGTTCCTGCTTGGGATCAATGGGAAGGTGAACAAAATTTCACTACACCTCCTGAATGTTTATATTAGTGACTTCTGTAGTTTTTCCCTCACTTTTATACCAGCAAGGATTACAAGCCTTTGCATACTTCTTATGCTGTGTAAAGACGTAGACACATGATCAAGTTACCATGGTCTAAACAAGTTACTACAAGTCAGCTGAGAAGTAGTAATTATCCACATATGTAGTACAAACTACTATGAAACTGGGTGACTTTGGTAATTCTCTTTTCTTAAACACACTCTTTAAACAAATTAGTTTGTATCTGACAAGCCTGAAAATGCACATCTAAAGTGGTATCCATTGGTGCCTAGTGACTTCAAAATCACTGCAAATGGGCAACACATATCAGCCTTATCATTGTGTAAAATTATATCAATTTCTGTACTGAACCCAGGAAGGTGGTCCTTCAGCCACTGCTGGACTGCTGGCTACAGTCTTTTAAAATGACATGAAGTTGCTATTGGAAAGAAAGTTTGTTGTGTTTCACATGCTGTTTTGCAGCCTGCTGTGCAGGTACCATGTTCTGAATACTTTAATGAAGGTGGTGCCACCTGCAGCCATGGGGTTTTCTATTTTCTATTGCCTTAAAGTGGCTGGAGCAGTTGAAACCCTTCCGGAGAAGGGGCAATCTTTTGGGCCAAATGGACTGTGGGAAGTAAATTTTCCTAGGGGCACAGAGAGGATTCTATGATTCTTACTGAAGCTAAGAGACCGCTGAAAGATGATGGAGTGCAGAGCAAGAATGAGGAAAGTACCTACCATTCAGGGACACACTGGGCAAGAGAGAATGGCTTTCACATCCTTTATTTAACATCTTATGTAGAATTTCAGAGCCTTGACAATTTAAATTTTCTTTGTAATAATAAAAGCTCTTACTAGAGGCTGGGAATATTTGAATCTTTGTTGAGTTCCTTTCACACCCTTTTCTTCAGTCACTATTATATATTAATAGCGTGGATAGCCCCTATGTTCCCTCTCTAACTTAAATGGAACTCAGCTGCAAACAAAAGGGGCTTTTGGCACAGGACCATGACCTATATTTGGAAAGAAGATGAGACTTGGTGGAGTGGCTGATGAGCTCCTGAATGTTTATGGATTGGCTCCTGAAAGCTGTTCATTTTGAGCTTTCCACGCAGAGAAGGAAGTGCAATAGCTGAGAAACTGCCTTCAAGGATACATGCTCAGGTATATTTGACTGAGAGGACTTCCCAGGCCAACATTTCTGAGCCTTCACTTGCAATGATAGAGCATGAAGGTATGGAACACCTTTGTGCATGCTCCTTGGCTGGAGACATAGGAAGGTGAGGACCATGCAGGGACATCTGTCCACAAGAGCCTGAGTGACGCTTTGAATTGCACCATAAACGGGGTTATCTGTGCTTCAGACTCATTAATGTGTTGTTATCCTCTGTTGTAATGGCCGGAATGACAGTGACAACACTCTGGCCTGGAAGTGACCGTGAGTGACAAGAAAACACGGTGTCCTGGTGTACAAAGGAAAAGAGGACCTCCTTTCTTTTTCTACCTCAATATCCATAACACAGTCTGACTCTAGTAAATAGACATATGATTTCTGGTTGGATACCACTAACACCACTGTTTGGGGTGAAGGTAGAGCCTATATGAGCTCCCTTACCTGCCGTATGCCACTGTTTACCTTGCTTACGTATCATTAGCAGATGTATAGTTACTGTCCCTCAGTATACTGTCCCCCAGATGTATAGATACAGTCCCCCATAGTTACTGGTGTCTTTTCCATCAGGTCATTCCTTATTTAAGTATGACAGTTTGATGCCACTCTCAACTAGCTGACATAAACTGTTGTACTGTTGTAAAGTCAGAGTCACATCATACGCCTTATGCATAGAAAACAACCCTCTTTTCCTTGTTTCTCTAATAATACAAAATTGCTGTTTCTTCAGAGCAATAGCTAGTTGCTATGATCAGCTGTAAACAATTACTAAGCTGCCTGCCTTAATGATTTATAGCTTACTTATAAAAGGGTGTACTTTCTCCCAGGCTGCTTGCTAAGCCCAAAGGAAGACCCTTGGTTAATGGTGATGATGCTATTTTATCACCTGCTGTGAACTAATTCTAGGAACTAGTCAGATTTTTCCAAGAAAATTGCTTTGCAATGTGAAATCAATAAAGTCAATAATCTTTTCCACTTTTTTTCCCCTCTGTGTGTGGGAATATACCAATATGAAGAAGAGATTTCTGGGGAAAAGGTGCTTATTTTCAGGATGAAATTACTGGTCTAAACCAGAGATGACAGTAACATAATGACAATAGAACAGAGCATGGTCTAGTGGAGATAGCACCCATGGGGAAAATACGAGAATTTGAACAGGATTCATGTTTTGAATCTGCTGCTAATTTAACTCCAGCATGGATTCCTTTGTTACCTACTATATGGGCAGATATTTACTTTTTCATTAAACACTGTGAAAGATTCTGGTTTTACCACACTGCAGCATGCATGATTTTTTAATTAAAATTTTAACTAGCTCTTTAAGTAGGAGAATTAATTTCCCACAGAGTTGCAATAAGAAAAAGCAGGTGACTATTTTCTTAGTTTTTATTTTGGCTTAGTTCTTGGTAACTTTTAAGGGTTAAAAAGTTCAACGGTGAACAAACTGTGGCAGTTATTCTAAAGCTACTTTCTAAGCTACATATATCAAACACCCTGGAGTTCTTGTTTGTTTGTGATAGCTGTATTTTATGACCATCTGTTATTAATTACAGCATTGTTGGTCAACTGGCTGTTCCAGTGATTAGTGGTATTGTTATAAAAGTATGTACACTCCCTTAGTGTGTGGGTGGTGGTGGCAGTTGTGTTGCTATCATTCTTGTCTTTTTTTATGGGACAGAATCTTTAGGTCTTGTTTGGTTGCTTCATTTCTACCTGTTCCCAGTTCTTTCTACTTTCCTTTTAGTAATTTCTGTGATTTACACTAACTGATACAGGAATGGGTCTTCTGAAAGTATATGGATTTTCACCTCCTATAACAGATGCACAGAGCTCAGGAAGACAAGATACATATGCTGTCTAGAGATATCAGAAAAAGGGTATGGCGCATCTTATTAATGGACAGTTTTCTTTTTATGTGACTAAAATATGAGAAATGCATTTTTAAATTGCCTTCTAAAAGAAAAATGAAGCAGTCATTTTGTTGTCAGATGGTAAATAAAGGTTACATGAACTTCACTGCAGAAGGAATTCAGCCATCATTGTGGTATTTCTGTGCTACTGATGTCTTATTGGTATACTGAGATTTCATATACTTGTGCTTTAAAACTTAGAATTAGAGAAACTTGTGTTTTGTTGTTTTGTTTTGTTTTTATGGGGGGTTATTTTTTGTATTTTTATGACTCTAGCATGTAAAACATTGGTGACTTCTTATGGTGGACACTGTAACACAAAACCAGAACCACTGAGCTACCGATGAGAGCTGCCATGGCAATAGATGTACAGCTATTAACTGTGAAAGTACTGCTGTAATTAATAAGTGTGATGGAAAAAAGACATTTCTGGCAGAGCTTCATGTTCTGCAAAATCTGAGAGCTAGTGAGAGCTTTGGAAAAGCATAGAATTTTGAGCAGGGCATCTTTAATGTTGCTGCAGATATGAGTGCAGTGAACCTAATCCTTCTATACAAAGACAACTTCACAAAAGAACTCTTCTTACCCTGTTGCTTTACAAGCAAGTTACACAGGCAAACTCGCTCTTACTGCATTAGTTTAGATAAAATACTGCTTTGGGCAGCCATGTCCTATGCAATAGAGTCAATTAATTGCATCAGTATCTAACCTGAATAACAATCCGTAGTGGCCCTGATGTTTAGAACAAATACCTTCAGTATGTTCAAGCTAAAGCTGCCAAAGAAATTCAGGATTACTCATTAATTTTTAAACTTGCTGCATTATGCTTTGTCTAATAGATCAATACAGTGATGTAAATCAGCATAATGTTAATTGGACTTTGGCAAAGAAATTCTGTACTGAGTTTTTCATTTAATTGTTGTGATGAAAGGGGGAGCAACCTGCTTAATAGTACTGTTTCTTTTCATTCAGGATGAATACAGAAAGTATAAAAGTATCAGTAAAAGCAATAATCGGCTTCATCCAAAACTCAGACCACATACAGAACTAAAGCAAAGAGTTCAGTTGCACACTGTGTATTTCTATGGTTATCTTTGTGAGTTTAGGGG